GGAGCCCCCCGCGTCCCTGCCACGGGGCGCTTGGGCCGGGCTGCGCGGCGCTCTCTTTACACCGCCTTCGGTAACCGCCTCGCTTAAGCACGCGCTCAGCAGCAGCTAAAGCGGGATAACTAAACAGCGCACGGTAACTGAAGATGGACTAGGCAACACCATCCAAAAAACCGGCGAGAGCTGCTTGTTTGCCAGACGCAGAAGTACTGAACATTTTACACAACCTAAGTGGATGTGAATTTTACTAAAGTTCAATGGCTTCCTCTCATCCTCACTGACAGAACTGCCCGTTTGGCTTGCTAAAAGGTGTTTTATTAGTGTCTCAGTCCCATTGAAGGCAACGCACATTTTAAAATTACTTTCAGCAGCACTTCTGCTTGGCCTGCGGTAGGTGTGGGCAGGCGCGCCGCCGCCAGCTTGCTCCCCAGCTAGTGCAGAAAGAAGGCGGCGCGCTGGTCACTGAACTGCGTTTGGGCTGCTACCTCCGACCGGCCAGAGCCATCCTGGGGATACACACAGGTCCTGTCGCCCAAACAAACCGAATGGAGCTGAATATTTTTGGAGCTTTAAAAAGCCACTTTTCAGACAATTTGTTATTCCAATTCCATTTTTCCCACGCTGCGAGCGAGCACTGCTGCAGCCGGGAACTGAGGGCAGCCCTTGCCTGAAGGCGTGAACACATGCCAGGTGCGTGTATATAGCTATATACGTATGTATGTGCGAACACTGTTTTAGGGAAGAGGTCTTCCAAAGTTAATGTAACTTTCTGTGATAAGAAAACGCACCTCCTCGGTGCCTTTCGCTATGCTTTGTGTTTACTGCAAGGACAGTATCAGCGAGTGACTGTTCAGTCCCTCTTTTCTGAGCCTCTGTCGCACATAACTGAACTAAAAAAACCATCATGGAGCACAGGCGAGAGGAAGACCGAGACTCTGCAAGTGGGACGCGCTGTTACTGTGCCATAAGAACAAAGCTGCTGCCACAGCGAAGGGGACTGTCCACCCAGGCAGGACAATCCCCTTACCAGCGCCTAACTGCAGCGCCTCTGCCCCCCTCCTCGGCCACC